GAAAATTTTACCTGCATTTTCAAAATTATACCAATATCATTGGCTTCTCCTGATGGACCTGGCTGTGCAACTGGCATGTCTGAACCCGTTGAAGGTACACATACACTTTCATTCACAAAAGCTTAATTTTCTATAGTGTCTTCCTCATTGTTAGTCGCCTCCGATCTGATTTTATTAAAAAACTTTAAAATTAAAGTGCCACCTTTACGTTTTCCCTTATTATTAGGGTAAATATTGAAATTAAAAAACAATTATGAAAAAAAGAACTCACTAGTTTAGTAAATGACGCACTTCGTTACACGCTTGCGAGGGTCCATACTCCATAAAGGCTAATAATACCAAAAATGTTAATAATAAAAGTGCTTTATTAAACAACTTTTATCCTGAAAAGGCCAGCTAAAGTTAAACCTTTTCAGGAATGAGATAAATTTAACACACAGTGCTGGTAAAATAAAACCTTGGGTCTCGCTTATAGCTTGTGTAGACATGTGTTTTATAATTTTGCCAAAATAATGTTCTAACATCATTAAGGTATTTTCTTTCGCCAACGTTACCGCCAACACAGATCACTTATTTTTACTTCAACACAAAACACTCACTTCACTTACTGTGTACCCACTTTACCGCCAACATCTAATAAATATCATCACTATATATATAACCTTTTCTTCTTCTTTACTATATAATTACGAAATGCTAAGAGAAACTCATGGAGGAAGTTCTGCGTCCAATGCTGTAGTCAGTTCTAGTGGACGACCTACTCAAAACATTGTCCAAAGAAAGCTACCAGTGCCTAGGATACGCAGATGACCTAGCAATTATCGTCAGCGAGCGATTTGCAGGCACATTTTCGAAGCCATCTTAAACGGCTATAAACATAGTGAACAACTGGTGCAAAAAGGAGCAATTATCCATTAACGCACAAACAACAACAGTTGTACTATTCACAAATAAACAGGTACTTACATAACTAAGGCCCTTAGTACGAAACAACATGGTTATTCTATTTGTGACAGAAGCCGAATATCTCGGAGTCATATTCAACCAGAGACTGATATGGAATCAATATATCTACAGACTGCCTGGCAGAGCCAAGTAGTCAAAACAAGATGAGCCTAGCCCTATCAGGCCACGAGGGATATCAGGGCAATAAATAGACCACAAGGCATTGTGCAAGACATCAAACAATGGATTCACAACGAGTATCTGAAATAGTGGAACATCTATCCAAGACTAAGAAGCCAAGCAGTTCTTGAAGGAACCATCGGCCAAGTTCACAAAAGGCCAACTAGAATAACAGTAGGTCTTCTTACCGGACACTGTTGCCTAAGGAAGCACATGAGTGTCATCAATCCAGCAGAAGAAGTAACTTTAATGCAGGTTCTATGAAGAAGAAGAGGAAATATCAATTCACATCCTATACCAGCGTGAAGGACTGGCTAGATTGAAGTTTCCAACATTAGGCAAAGAAAAGCCAAACGCGTACAAATACATGCGGAAGCCACTGTCAAAGCTACTAAGTCTAATATAAAGTTAGACGATATACTCTAAAAAAATGGAGTCCCACAATAGATCTCAAAAGGTCGCAGTGGACAAGGGCAAATAATATACTTTATAAATCTATGCTAATCTAATTGACAACGTTGTCAAGAGGTGCTTCTTTTATATCGGCCGGTGTTAGCCGATACTTGCTGAACAAAAGTCTTCTAATAAATGAGAGCGTCAGGTAATCCTAGAGGATATACTCGATGGTATCACGATCTTGTTCGCACCCCCTGCAGAGTGTGGATTCTGACAAGCCCATGATGTTAAGGAGAAGCTTCCGTACTTGGCAATGTACAGTTCAATAGAAGGACCCGGTCCAAAAAGTATTTGGTTGGTTGCTTTCTTGGCCAGTGAATCAGCAAGACGGTTACCTTTTGATGTGGCGTGACCTTTGATCCATCTTAAGGTAACCACATTGTTGATGGATACTTTGGTCGAAGCTTCGTGGCATTCTAGTACTGGTCTGATCAGGGTGAGTAGTGCTTGTCTGTTATCTGTATAGATAAGCATGTTTCTTTCAGTGATATTGTTTTTGGTAAATTCTTAATAACAATAAATGATTAGTTTTTTTTTAACTAATGAACGAACCCAAGTAGAATATTTTCTGTTAACTCACTTTTTCATTCTGTGACATCACTACGTCCTTAGCGCCCGAGATGAGGCCACCATTTCAGGCTAAGGACCGTGGGTACTGATATTAAATTCACCATTTAGACAGAACTACTTAGAGAGGTTCTTTAGACCATTTAGCATATTTACGAAGACGTAGTTTAAATTCAGTACAGGTAAGCATATCGTTATGTACCTACTTTAAATGGGAAAAGATTCGTCCGTGCTGCTGGCTTGGCGCGAGCCATCTATAAGTCCTTCTTTAAAAATATGTTTATCTAAATAATAACACTGAAAGTGTGAGTAAATGTTAAATTAAATAACATTCATGTGGAAATATTGTCACACGAGGCGCAAATAGAGTTCGATAATCACGCGGGTGTAAAAATAATTTTTTTCAATTGATGAACAATATTTTTTTCTACGACTAGAAGACAAATATTAAACCAGCTCAATAAAAAGCTTCAATTTTGATGGAGGTTCTATCCCATGCAACATCTTGCCGTCATTATGACGTGATTTTTTGGTGTGAGTTACGTCATTTGATGACGTGAAAATAACGTTAAGGTAACGTGAGAATGTCACAGCGAAATGACGTCATTTCATATAGTCATTTTGACAAATTGATATCACATTAAAGTAACGTGTATATCGGGTGTCCTAGGCTAGGCAAATTGACGTCATTGTCACGAATCTACCTAACGTCAAAGTGACGTCCATATTGGGCGTCCCAAGGTTGGATGGAATTATTAAAAATCCTAAGCAGATGAAATTTATTTATTTAATCCAAAAAACACATGAAAAATATATTATAAAAAATAAATTACACTGGTAAATAAAAAAAGTCATGAGCAAGAAACCAAAAGGAATAAAATGACAAAAAAATATTCGAGGAACTGACACAACATACCTAAAATTGTAGATTTGATTTTAGTTGAGGGTGCGCGAGCATGCTTTACGATTTCATTATCTTCAGTATCATCGAATGACAGCTTTCTAGTTGGCACCTGTTTTCTTTTAGTAGGTACTTTATCAGCCTTGGAATGTAGATCTGAGGTAACTTCGACTTTTTTTAATTTGGTACATCACTTATCATTATCATCTAAAATAAAATAACTATTAAAATACAGACCACTAAAAATTCTTAAAGATAGAAAGTAAATTGTGTATCTAGTTGAAAAAACTACCTTCTCAGAGGTATACATATAGTCTGAGTTTATAATAAAAGTTAATAAAAAAAAAAACATCTATGAGATGGTAAAAGGTATCTAAATCAAGTGACCCCCTACAAATCTTTTATTTTTAAATAAACTTTAAAAAAATACCCTGAAAGAACTCATAATCAAAAAATAAAAGTATAACACTACTCACCAGTCTTATATTACAGTATATTTCTTTATAAAGGTCCGCAATAGACTTGTTTTTAACACACCTCACAACCAGACCGTCAACAATGCAATACATCTGTAAAATACCAAATTCGGTTTAATATACTTTGTTATTTTGTCACATTCTATTTTTTACCTTTTTCTAAAATATCTTATCAAATAAAGTAACATTTAACAAGTATTAGAAATTAAAAATAAAAAAACCGACTTCAAAAACATGCAGATGCCATCACCACATCTTAACCAAATTTATATGGGACCACCCCTGAGGTACCCCCTTACTAACAAAAAAAGAATCATATAAATCGGACAAAGTGGTAAAGCATTATCGCTAAACATACATAAAAAATTAAAAGTTTGAAAACTTTCTTATGGATCCAATTATTAGATTTTGTTCAAATTTATATGGGACCACCCCTGAAGTACCCCCTTTCTAACCAAAAAAAGAATCATTGAAATCGGACACCGTGTTAAAGAATTATCGCTGAACGTACATAAAAAAAAATGTTGCGACGAATTGAGAACCTCCTCCTTTTTTGAAGTCGGTTTAAAATGCACCACGTTCACAAGGTCACGACTGTCACTCACGAGAATCATAAAGATGGAGAAAACAAGAAACAACAGTGACAATTGACAATATGACATTGCCAGAAATATACGATAAAATAACGTAATTATGACGAATTCTAAGTGACGTGAAGTAAAAAATTACGTCATAATGACGAGTCTGTATTGACGTCTAATTAACGTTTGCAAAAACGACGTCAAAGTAACGTCATTAATTGGGATAGTGACGTTTCTGACGAGTAAACCCAAAAAATCACGTCATAATGACGGCACCTTGCTGCTTGGGATGTTTGGCTTTGTATTACGAAAGTGCAGTTTGATTACCTATAGAAGCAACTATAAAAAAATATTTAACATTAGAAAAGATTACATAATATAGTTGTGAATTTGTTTTTAATTAACTTTTATTCGAACATATCAAAAAATGTCGTTATTCGTAGAGAATTCAATTGAATATTGGAACTCTTTAATATACTTCTTCAAGTGAGTAAATTAATTTTTTGGTCTAGGATAAATAAATTTTACGTTAATTTTGACTTAGTTCATGATCTGACAAGATTATTTTTAGATTTTTGGGTTAATTTTTAAAAAATAAGTCTAGTTTCGTACTGTTTTTAACTTAAAGACCTAACCTATTCGATTCTTTTTACTTTCGATTTTTTACTTTAGATACTTTTTAAAAGAATTATTTTAAAAATCGATTATTTTTTTACAATCGATATTTTTTGTAATTAGACAATTCAATGTCCGGTCAGAATGAGGAAAAGTGGTCGATGCTTGGCAAAAACAACCAGGTCTGTTGACCCAACTTTTTCATTAGTATTTGATTGTTATTCTAAATTATATAATTAATATTCACATATTCTTAATAAATATTAATTTATTCTATTTTGCACTTAACACATCGAAAAACTGTAATCAAACTACTTCAAAAATAATGCACTCACTTAGACTACTAATCTCCCTAGAAGTGTTTTTGTCACTTTTATTATTTTTGCTCATTGTCGTCCACCATTAAAAAGTCACGTGGTTTGGATTGTCTAATTGATTAAAATCAACGCATTTTCCATTCGATCTATTTTACAATTTTAGAATCTATTCTTTTGACAATACAATTCAATTCTTTTTACAATACAATCGACTCTTTTTTTAACGAATATTTTAACAATCAATTCTATTTACCATCCACTTTTGCACTAGATAAAATGAAAATGCACTTTATGCGCACAGTAGTTTTCTATTCTCACGTGTGCACTAGAGCTAGATATTGAGGACCCTGTATATATTTTTTGTTTTCATGAAATGATGTGCATATAGTCCTCGCTTCTCTGTCTATCATCGAACGTCAGCCAGCATTGCGATGTAAGCGGCAACTTTTAACGCCAAATTTTAACTGTGGCGCGCAATATAGTTGGTTCTTCATTTATATAACCTCTAAATTGTAACCTATTTATTTTATTTATTTCTATCACTATCTTTATGTTTCTGTTCTTTAAGAAGATATTTACAAAACTCATAAGTTGACCAACAAATGGCTGTAGATGGCATAAGATGTAGAGTCCTAGCGGTTACACCTGAAAGGAAACCACGAAATCCTGTTTTCTTATAAACAATTTTTACAGCTTTAACTAAGCCAACAGCTTCTTTACTTTCTTGAGTGTTAATGAGTGTCCTACATACATCTAGAGGATTGGTAATAGCTGCGCCTACTCCACCAGCGAGTCCTCCACTGATAATATGAGACTTAGGATCGTAGTCACGTTCTTTGTTTAAATAATCCTGACACAATTCGTAGACGATGAAGTGGATAGATTGGAATGGTATGTTCATTAATAAGGTCGTAGCAAAAGATCTGTAAAAAGCTTGGAACCCTTCAATTCTGTATATTTCCTTAGTACACTGAATAACTGAATGGCACGTAGATTTCTCCATTTGCATTCTTTGTTTGATTACCTCAGAAGGATTTACTACAGCGTCATGAAAAAATGTAGCAAAACAACCGGCTACGCCATGACAAAACGAATTGTGATTCTTCACTACGTGCTGCAGATTTATTTTGACGAACTCGTAACTCCCGTAATATAAAGCATGTGCTGGACCAGAAGCTGCAACTACAACTGTAAGACCTCGAATGGGGCTCAAAATACCTTCTTCGGCGATCATCTTCAATAAGACTCCAAATATATTGCGAGTCCCCTTAAAGGATATTGATTGCATTCTGGTTTTGACCGTATCTATAGGGTACATTATGATGTATTCCGCATAACCTGCAATAGCTCCTGAAATTAGGTGTATTGTTACGTTTTCGGTATCGAGTTTTTCATGATGAACCTGATCGAGACCCATACAGTGATTTTAGTTAGTAATTGGACCTCCACTTGTTAATTTGAGTTCGTGTTTAATAAAAAATTCCAGAATTTTGACATATATCATGTTAATATCGTAGTGACATAAAACAATAAAACCAGAATGTCGTCATTATACTACAGAATAACCTACCTATTACAGAAGCGAAGGCTTGCGTCGGCACTTTGATGTCCGTGTGGCCAAAATTTAAAGTGACACTCGGTGACAGTTGACGAATAGATAGGTTATCCTGTCATTATAGTCCTTAGACGTGCCTTAGACTAGGTAAAAAAAGGGAGGACGTGTAACAAGTATATCGAGCCGATTATCTATTGGCCGTCATTATTTTGGTGCTAAGCATTTCGGTGACACCAAAGTTTTTGTTCGTGTTTATTTTTAATTTTAAACATTGCTAAATAAAATTGTACAATTAACTACCAGCTGCTTAACACATTAATATTGGAAAAAGAAAAAATTGCCATTATTTGTAGAAAGTTTTCTTGATTATTCAAATATATTTACCGGAATTAATCCAAAAGAACACATGTCCTATTTAAAGTTAAATTACGAAGACTATTTAGTACCGTTCAGTTGTCATTTTAGTAAGATTCAAGCAACTGACGCCCTGACAAAAATTGATCATTTATTATATGTTGAAAATTACCAAAAGCTATACACACAGATGGTTCAAAAAAAGACGGAAAAGTTGCCTATGCTATATATTATCCACAAAAAGCTATTTAATTCAAAATAGATTACCCGATATAATGACAATTTATACAGCAGAACTTATAGCAGTTAAAGAGTCTTTCAAAATATGTATAGAACAAAAAGAAATAGATTATATAATTTTTACGGACTGCAAAAGCATTGTTCAAAAATTAAGAGATATTACAATTAACAACGAAATAAATTATATTATCTATGAAATTATTGCTCTAAATAGTGAGGCAAGAAAAAAGGGAAAAAATATAACGTTATGTTGAATAAAGTCACATATTGGAATTAAAAATAACGAAATTGTAGATGATTTGGCAAAAAAAGGAACTGATGATAATATCATCATAAATTCATATCAAGTCCCAAGAGGCGATTTAAATTGCTATATTAAATTATTTGAAATAAGTAAGTGGCAAGACAATTATAACTGTTCAGACAAAGGTCAATTTTTTAAAAACATTCAAAGCAAGATACCCTCCATACCATGGTTTAGCAAATTCAGCAGCAGAAGTTTTATTAGAACGACTTGTAGAATTAGAAGTAATCATTGCCTGACTCCAAATTATAAAAGAAGAATGGGATTGGTAGACAATGATTAACGATTCTATGAGTGCAAAATAGATTATTTTTAAATGTACATTCAAATATGATTGTAGAAATTTAAATTTTGGTAAAAGGCAACGTATTATTTATATGCTTAGTTGAGTTAATATGAAAGTCAATTTGTATACTCCAAGGTATTTTTAACTCTTATATGAAACTACTGAACGTTACCTTTTATTATTTTTCTATAGGAAGAGGGTATCTTTCTGCATATCTAACTGCATAATGGAACAACAAGTTTTATCAAAGGTTTGCAAGTTTTCATAATTAAACCATTAGACAATTTTTGTAAGATGTGTTTCTATTAATAATTTTAATCAATTCAAGTTCTCTGCATTTTACAGGATAACTGTGTCGTCTGAAAAACTTACAATATTTCCATCTGTACGAAAAATTATTTAAAATAAAATTAAACAACATAGGACCTAAGACAGGATCTTGAGGCATGCGATTTGCTACTTATTTCCATACTTAAGATATCATTAATTCTATTTGTGTTCAGTTTTGTAAATAACTTTTTAATAAATTATATGGAGTGCTTCACATTCATACAATAAACTTCTAATATACGAAAAAACCGGTACATGATATAGTTAGTAAAGAATTTATTTACTTATATACTTCAACCAGACCACTTTTATTCTTGAAACAGCTGTTGGTAGAAGTCTTATTCTTAGTTTTGAGATTCAATCAAAACAATTTGTTTTAAAATAAAATAAAAAAAATAAAATATTTTGGCTCACAATTTGTTTGTTGCATGAAGTTAAGCCATAACTTTCTTTTTTAAAATTTCTTCAGAAAATCTGAAAATTGTTTACTTGCAATGAATTTATAATTCTAAACTGAACAATAATTTATTCATTTTAACAACCACATAAATATCTTAAAATTTCATAAAAGAATTATTCAAATAGAAGTAAGTATACTCTATAAACCATGAGACTACGCCTTTATGCACAGTTAATCGCAGACGCACTTACCATGTTTGTCTACAAATTTAAAACATTAAAAATTTAAAACATTAAAAAATCTTTAATGTGGTTGAAAATTGAGAGAACAAAATACTTGCTTATGAAATGTAGTTCCTTCCTTTCTACTTTTAGCTGTGCTGCTATATCCACAAGAGGAACAATTGCCATATTGCTTTGTTTGTCTTTTAACGCGGAAAACTTAAAGTTAACAGTAATATTAACTAAGACACCAAACACTTTTTATACATGTCTTCAAAACATTCTGACTGAATGTCCAGCACTCCAGAATCCAAGGGCATTATACTTAGGAGCATACCAAACAGAAGATGTCGATTTCCTTAACTTAAAGCCTCTCAAAATCCTACACTTACTTAAAAAGATAGGATTGGAGGAATTTCGATGCATTAGCGACAGAAGGGGACGCAATAGATCTTTTAGGTCGAAGTGCTAATACCCCATACCCAACATAATATACTCTTGTTATTAAAAACTCCCTCTCTGCCAATATGTTTATTATATTATTGCTTGAAAAGGTCCCCAATAAGTACAATGGGGTTAAAAATACAATGAGAGGGAAGAAGACGTAATACTTTATGTCTATATTGTTTTACTTAATTATCTACCATCTATTTCTCTAGTGGTTTGTACCTGAAAAAAGAATGTTTTATTTATTTCTAGTTGCTATTTCGTATAACATGTGTCAAAATCGCTATATTCTTAATTGTAATAAAGAAACAACACATTACATCAAAGATTTAATGGTAGATACACTGTTATAGCAAATCTTGAAACTTCATTTTTAATTTTTTTATATTGTTTAAAAGTTTATTTCTGAAAAAAGGTCTTTTTGGTTTTCACTGTACATTAAATCTTCAATATAATGTGTCATTTCAATATTACAGTTTAGAATATAGCTATTTTGGCACAAACAAGTTTTTTTACTCGATTTACACGATTAATGATACCTTTATTTACTTCAAATTTGGCGAATTACCTCTTGCCATCGATTTTTATAGGTGTAACAACCCTTTGTCATTATTTCACCAGAAGCTGTTTAATGTTCCATTTAAAAAAAAATAAGTTTTTATATTTCTATAATTTCTTAAAAATTGAACTCTACAGCCCACGTCGTGGTTATCTTTTTTCCTTCATTCTTTTAATACAGTTCATAGTGATGCAATATAGCCATTAAACATTTGCTTCTCAGCCAACTTTTCTCTTAAAGGTTCCAAAGTTATACGTTTACCTGCAAATAAGTATGTATTTGTATTACTGTAGATAGGTATACTTTTATAGGTAATATAAATATGTTTCATACATGTTATAAATACAATTTCGGATTCCACTCGTATCCAGTGTTATTGTATTAGTAATCTTTTGTTGATATGAATGCTTTTTAAGTAGCGATTTTAATCATTCATTATTCTTGACTGCTTGCGAAATACTACTAACAGTAGACATATTTAGATATTTAGGTTTAAGGTTGCTGCAACACGCTAAAACAGACAAGAAATCAAATTCATATTTCTATACTACATTTTATTAGTTATTTATGCAACAAGTGCAAAAAGTAAGTGTTTATTGCACGCGACGTGAAATTGTCCAACGAGGCGGTCAAGCCGAGTTGGACAACACGTCGAATGCACACTTTTTGCACGAGTTGCATACAATATTTTTTCTACGTTCATGCAAAAACCAAAAAATGTTTTATTTAGGCGACACTAAGTGCAGAAGACTAAAAAGCGTAATTTAATAGCAAAATATATTTTTACTAATTTATTTAATAAATGATTGAAAATAATATAAAATATGCAATTGTTTTTAAAACGTAATACAATCTCACAGAAAATGAAAATGGACTAAATATTTGGCGTCGATTTAAAGATTTATGTTTGTCATGATCATAAAATGCTGTAGTAAAATGACAGATGAGTGCAATAAAATTTTTATTGCACTAGTGCAATAAAGAACCAGTTTTGTCACTAAATATAGTTCAATAAAATTTAGTTTTTTAACTTACGTCTCATACAGCAGAAGGTCATAGAAAAATCAAATCAAAACACTCTATTAACGAAGCTACAGGCTCCTTACAACGACTATTTAGTTTTTTTTTTGCATTTTGTATGTAAAAATAAAAGAAATAATCAGCTTTTTCTCACACTGTTTTAGAAATCAACTTTTAAACATAACCTAAAACCTAACCTAATTCAGTGAAAGTTTTTAAAATATTGGCATCGCCGCAACAAGGTGTACCAATTGCCATAATGACATTTCTTCTCCATAAATACGAGTTTCATGGGGGTATAGAATGTCAAAATTATTTAATGTGAAGTATGTTACATTATCAAGAATAAGACGTGTATAAGCTAATTAACTAAAGAAATTCTAAAATTATCAAAATAATCACACATAGAATTCGGTTTTCAGTAATATAAATACGTTCATGAATGCTCGTGAATATTTGTGACATTTTCGGATTATTAGCTTAGATAGGGACATTTGAATTAGTCTGAATTAGTTGATAGTACTTTGACAAAAGACCAACGTCAATAATGACGTACAACGGGATTTGTATTATAAAATCAAAGAATGTGATTAAAAATACTATGTGGCTAGAGTACTGCATAATCATCGCTCTACCGTTAAAAGGGTAGTCGAACGTTTTAGACAAACTGGCATGAATAAGTGCAAAACTATCGCTCTTGACGAGCGATATATCAGACTTAATGCTTTACGGGACCGTCACTTAACAGCGGGGCAAACAGGAAATAGGCTTCAAGAGGTTTGAGATAAAAATGTGAGTGTATTTACAGTTAGTCAAAAATTACAGGAGGTTGGTTTAAAAAGTTGCAGACCAGCAACTGAGCCCAAATTACTTCCACGTCACCGAGTGATCAGGAACCATTTACATTGAAATTTGAGGAAATAAAACAATGTTCTTTTTACAGATGAGTCGAGATACTACTTAAACTCACCAGATGGGAGAGAACGAGTATGGCGATGAACTGGAGAAAGGTTTGCGGAGTACGTTTTCAGCTCCTGCCTTAGCCATGGAGGAGGTTCGGTGATGGTGTATCCCGAGATGACCGTACTGAATTAGTTTTTGTAGATGGTTCACTGACTACGCACCGATATATTGAAGAGATATTGATAAAATGTTATACAATGCGCTAAAATATTTATTGCAATAAGATTAAAGCGAAAAAAATTATAACACTTTCAATTAGACCTAAATTTTTTGCGTTGAGAGTTTTTGCATCTGAGTTAATAATATAATGAAGAAGATTATCGTTACTTTGGTAGAGAATTAGGATGATGAAGGCTGTTTCAGTGGGAGAAAAGGTGATTTTTAAATTTATAATTAGATTTTTTTATTGTCTTAAATTCAATTATTTATATAATTTCATATTGCATTTATTTTTTATTAGGTTTTTAAACTTGCGTGCCTCAACACAGACATTTATTCAAAAAATATTTTTAAAATGATTTCAAAACAAAAAGACAGGATTTTTACAAATGGGAAAAGTCGTACTTACTCCACAAACTCCCTATTTAAATTATCGGGGCTATTAGATATTCGGCAGATTTTTTGTTTAAAAATATTATTATTTACTAAACAAAAAAAAATTAAAATAGAACCCATTTCTCACAAGTACGAAACGAGAATTAAGAGAAGAGCATATATTACACCAAGATGCGAAAAAACTGCAGGTCAAAAATGCTGTTCCTATCTAGCACCTAGAATATTTTCAATAATTCCCGATTTTTTAAAAAATATACAACTATACAAACACTTTAAACAAAAAATTAAAAAATGGATAGGGGAAAGTGACAGAACAATATTTCATAAGTTTGTAAATTCAAATATGTAAATAATATAAAATGTGTTAATAATATAATATAGGTAAATAATATAATATAAAATAATAGATTTGAATTTGACGCTATACCTAATTACATTACATAAAATTACGACAACATGATTAGAACAATATTCCCGATTATAACAATACACCCGAATATGACAATACACCCGATTATGACAATACACCCGATTATGACAACTCATATAATTATGAACTATTCCTGATTTTGACAACTCACTTAATTTTGAAATTTCATTGTAATCTTTTAGTTCTCGAATGATAATAGAAATTATTATAGTAATTAAGATTAATATTAAGGATACAAATGTATGACTTTACTAAATAAGTATATCACAATACAAGCTGAGCCTCTTCTGGGGTAACGCTTCTGTGATTAGTCGTAGTTTATTCAGCATAATATTGTAATTTTACATGTAAATATTTTTTTGGTATTGAATAAACTCATTATTATATTATTATTATTACCATTTTTAGTGAAAATTACTTTTATTTGCTGAATACAGGATGAATTCTCTGAATGTAAAACATAAGAAGAATATAGTCTTTAAAAATCAAAGTGTATGTACATACACCTTTTTTTTAATTTTATCTTGTCAAACTACTTATTGGTACTAGTCGGTATATCTAAATTGTTACCTTTTATCTAACTATTCTTTTAACATTCAGATCCATATTCTGAATTTTAATAGTTTTAATTTTATAATATTTCATTTGTCTAAGTTACACAGGAAAATTAAAGACAAAGTTATAAAAAAGATTTATACACGATACACTTAGCTAAAATGCACATTTTGCACAAGGACGATGACAATTTTTTTATTATTTTATTTGTTTCTACTTTTATAACAAATTTAATGAATCTGACAAAAAAAACTATTCTTCATCAGCTTCTAAATTAATATGGCTTCCAAATTTTCCATAGAGATCCAACTTCAGATCACTCATCGTTTCTATAATTTCGCTTGATTTCAATTTCAGATTTTTTATCTCTTCTTCAATCTTCGTTTTAGTATCTTCTAAACATTTTTTAGTTTTCTCTACATTTTGATATATGAAAACATCTCCTACCTCGTAAGGAATTTGTTCGTCTTCATCAAATAAAGCAATTTCGTCACATGCATCTTCGATACTTTTTAAATCGTTTTCTTTCAGTTTAATTTCATCTTTGCAGTCATCGAGTTTCGCATTCAATCTAGCGAATCTATTGATCATCTGCTGATCTTCGTAAGTGATGTGAACAGCGGAATCGGGTTGAAAAGTTTCTTTACCTTTTGAAGTCATTTCATATTTTTTTCAAAATTTCAATGGCAACGTGTTTATATGTCTGTAAAGGCGAGGGAAAATCCTGCAAAATATATTTGACAATTATTATTATGACTTTTACAACTACATAGTAGAGGTATGAAAACTAGATAAAAAGAGTCAAACCATAGATATATATCTGAAAGACGGAACGATAATGGCAAAATTTGAAATTTCCGTCATAGATTTTGTGAGGTTCGTCAAATCAACGTGATGTTCTTTGTAAGGTGTATCTATCATGTTCCGTGGTATCAATGTAATAAAAAGGTTTATCCCACATTCTTTGGTTTATCGTTTTTAAATATTGCCCATACCTAACATGATTTGTAAAAAAACATAAAAGTTTAGAAATCGTAATTGTTGAATTGGATCCTAAAAAATTAGAAAAGTGGCCAGTGTCCAGTGATAAAGCATTTTCCAGTCATAATATTGTTTATGGATTGCACTTTTTGAGACATGATATTTTGAAATAGTATGAGACGGTATTAACCGATGGTACTGTTAGTAAAATTAAAAGAAGAGGACCAAAATTAAAGAATAATGCATATTCTCTATTTTCCTTCAAATTTATCCTGTACCAGAGCTGGGGATGATTCGAATCACATAGGATTCGAATCCTGGGATTCGAATACTATTTGAGGATCTGTGAGCGGGATTCAAATACTTAAGAAAAAAGGATCCGTGATCCGGATTCGCCGAAGAAATTCTAAAGGATTCGTATTCGAATTACCAATCTCGGATCCTTTTAGAGACCAAACTACGCCGGCGCGAACGGTCGACTTACGCTTTGACTTTAGCGAAGTGTAAACTGAAACAGACTGAGAGTGAAGACCGATTGTTAATATTTAGAAGATAAATATAAGAATCTACAAATTAATTCAAAAAAAGGCAGCAGAGCACCTAGACAATTTTGAGTTGAAACCTATGCCATATTTTTAGGCCATTTTAAGGCTATTTTTATACCCTATTCAAAAATTTTATGCTCCTCGTTTTTTACAAAAATCAAAGTTCTCTTCTAGCTTCGAACGAAGCCAGCAGAGCACCTCAGTTTTTTATAGTTTTTTCTAAAAAAACAACCACACTGCATTTTTAGGCTATTTTTAGGCTCCTGAAATATTATAAAACTTTACTAAAAATTGCTATTTGTAAATAATACAGGGTGCTTTGTTGGAACAAAGTCAGCAGAGCACCTCGGTTTTTTAAAGCTTTTTTTTCTAAAACCAACCACACCGCATTTTTAGACTATTTTTAGATTCTTGAAATATTTTAAAACTTTACTAAAAATTGCTATTTTTAAATAATACCGGAACAAAGTTAGTAGAGCATCTCGGTTTATTTATTTTTTTTTTCTAGGGACCTCTACTTATGTCACATATTTGAGCTATTTTTAGGTTCTTTAAATATTATAAAACTTTTTGAAAAAATAGTGTTTTTTAAAAAATATAGAGTGCTTTGTTGAAACAGAGGTGCTTTGTTGGCTTCTTGCTAGCAAAGCAATCTGTATTTTTTAAAAATATTATTTTAAGAGCATAAAAATAGCCTAAAAATATTGTGTCGTTGTTTTTGGGAAAAAAACTAAAAAAAAACTGAGGTGCTCTGCTGACTTCGTTCAAAGCTTGCAGAGTACCTTCATTTTTGCAAAAAAAGCAGTAGTATAAAAATAGCCTAAAAATATAGCATAGGTTTGAACTCAAAATTGCCTAGGTACTCTGCTGCCTTCTTTGACATCACAAATTAGCAATAAATGTCCAACATAAAAAAATCCTAAAATTTTACACTTGCCTTCCTTCGTCTGGTGCAGTCTAAGGATTATTTTTGTTTGCATGTATAATCGATGCACCTTAAAATTTTGGAGTTATGTAAGGCCAACCAAAAGACAATTTTTATTTCATTGTTTATTTTGTTTTCTGTATTAAAATAAAATATAGTTTTTGTAGATTCTAATTTATTTATGGATCATATTTATAGAAAAAAAAAGTTTAATATTTTCAACATCTTCTTGTATCAACCATTTGTATGCAAGTCATAGTCGGTAATAGACACAGTTGATATTGATATTAGAATCGGAAGCATGTATAATAACCATGGTATGACGCTGACAGTGATTCGTATTTGTGATCCGAAAAAATGGATTCGAATCACTTGATTCGAATCCCTTTTTAAAGCAAAAAGGATTCGGACATAGGATCTGTACTAAAAAAAGACAAAGAACACTATGTGAACTAACTGATTCTGGGATAACAAAAAATGGCAACAAATGCTAGTTAGTATGATGATATTATTACTTGAACTTCATGGAAGTGCAGTTGTTGATGTAGCCTATCAAACGTTAATCTATTTATGTACCTACTACTTTATTACAAAAAATAAAAAAATAATCAGTTAGTGCAAATTAGAAGCTAATATTACCGAGTCCTCAACAATCACCTTACTATTGCCTGTTTTGTACTAGCATCGTATTATGTTGAGCAGATGATCCTGAGCAGCATCCATTGTTGTTGTTGTTGTTATTGTTGTTGTTGTTATTGTTGTTGATGTTGTTGTTGTTTTTGTTGTTGTTGGTGTTGTTGGTGTTGTTGTTATTGTTGATGATGGTGGGTGAGGTTTTCCGGGTTTTCCTCACCTGTAAGTCAAATGGCACCATCAATCATCCTTAAGTCGCTCCGGAGCGCCACGGCAAATAATAATAATAATAGCCGTCCCTTCCCCTACACAAGTCGTTCAGTCGACTTCAGGGGTTGAAATTCACTCGTAAGGGGGTGAATTAGGGAGAGTATTATTATTATATTGTTGTTGTTGTTATTGTTGTTGTGGGGATTACACCTGTAAATAAATAACAAATACGTAAATTTTTCCATAGCACACTAAGTTATACCCACAGTCAAATAATAGTATGGTATTGTGAAATTTTATTAGTACAAAACTATGAACGTGTAACGCTAATCTCCTTTGGTCAAACTCCAGACACAATCAGTTGGTACTTTGCGTTGAGTATCTTCATTTCCCAGCCTCGTCTGTACTTGGAGTATGAAGACTAGAGATAAGGAGACGAATCGGCATACTCAAAATACGGTCTCAAAAAACGCATGCTAATTGAGCTTCTATAATTAACCGCATGTGCGCTGGTACTGCATACGCTGTTCAAAATACATGGCTTCTTATGAGAATTATGCATAATTTTGTCAAAATAATAAAAATAAACTTGTTTATAGCTAAATAAAGCACAGAACATACTATTGTATTTATTTCTAAATAATTTTTGCATGTTTTAATTGATAAATTATTTAATTTTATCTATAAAAAATACAAATCAGGTATGTATGACCAAATTCGAAAAGGTTTCTTAAATGCTAAAAGTACAATTTTGTGGCAAATTTTTTTTTAAATTGAACCAATATATAGTTTTAAGAGTAAAATAAAATACAGGTAACAGATTTTTTATTGTTGTAATAAAAGTACAAGGGGAGATTTGGGAATGTACATGGTATTACTTCATTCTTTAATTTCAGCTTTCCCCTTTTTATTTTACTAACAGTACCATCAGTAAAAATAGTCTCATAATATTTGATAATATCTTTTAAAAATTATAGAACAGCCTCATCTCTAGAAAGTTCTCTATCGGCACTAGGAACGATATATATGCTGCCATTGATCTAAACGTTTAGTATCCTATAAAAAACATTTATAATGATACAATTGGAATTAAAAAAAAAAAAAAAATAAGAGTAGCAACTCTTTATCTAACATAAAAAATCTATAAAAAATAAATTTTCTTTCCTAGTAAGTTAAGTTTAATGCATAATTATTCTTGTTTGTAAGTCAGCATCTATGACTGTAAAATTTTACATTATAGAAACTTGTAATAAAATAAACTACACTTCGTAAGATACATATTCTGACTAGTTTACAATAAATATTGTATTTAGACATGAATACATTATTTAAGTTACATTAGAAGCTTTACAAAGACATTGAATTTATTTCTTCTTGTGTTTTCTTTAATTTTACATTTAATTTTATCCTGTTTTACAATCTGGAATGACGTAAATCTTACTTTGATGTTTTTTTTCACTCATGTTACTTGTATTCAGGTACTTTTTTTCACATTATTTTGACTCTGTTTATCAATTTTTTAACAAATCACTTCATTTTACATTGACTTACATAAAAAATTGACACCGCTGTCACTAGACATGCCAACTACAGTCAATTTCGCGAACTTTATAAAAAGAAGGACGGAAATTTGAAATGTGACCATTGTCGATTCGCCTCCTCTCTAGTCTTCATAACTTGGAGGTACGTTATGAAGCAATGATACGTGGAAAGGGGTACAAATTATAAATAAAATAATATTTTGAACAAACACAATCCATAGAAACTTTTAATAAAAAAAATTAAGTCGGGGGTTCGTGCGTCTATAGAGTAGAAATAACAAAGTTTAAAATTTATTGATAAATAGAAACAAACAATAAACAATTTCTAAAATTATTTAAACAAGTAGCAAGTCATGGATATGGGTTTTGCAATATAATGACTTCACAGTTCCTCGGGAGATAGTTACTTTTTACCATTAAAGTCTTGGTATCGGTAAATAACTATTCAAGTTTTTATTGTAAAGATGAATGTCTATATGAACCATGAGAGAATGTTAATATAGATATATTGTAGTACTCACAGATGTACAAATCCTTCGATGGCATATGCATTCACATAAATCAGCACCTCAAAGGTATTTTAAAGTTCACTTATTGTTTTAACAAAAAATGTGAATTTACTAAATACTGGGCCTTTGCAAAAGTCAATTGTTTGGTCAATTTATTAAGATTTTTTTTTTGAAATTTCGACTTTGATGTGACTTATTTATAACCTCAAATTTGCAATACTTGGTTTGCGACTTGTCGAGTGTTCTGCCACTTTTTCGCGAAGTGATTTAACTCGGGAGTTAAATCTGTTTTTCACTAGATAGAATTTGGTATGGTAAATCCACAAGTGGAGAAAACTCAGCACCTTACCTCTAAGGTGCTGAAATATTAACATTAAAACAGGATACTTAACGTGATTTTTTTTTTAGTTTTACACCCTTCAGACCGCATGTGCTACACCCCAATCCGTCTATGGTCTGGCGGCACCGCAGCCTGCGGCTTATTGTACCACCATTTGAAGGTTCTACTACATTTTTATTTACCAATTCACTCCCTCGTTCATCGTCATTCATTCCACTGCTAGTCAGATGAGTCCCATGGTGGCACCTCCCAGTGGTCACACATCCACGACATGACTGGAGAGATCACTGCTTAACTGTTGCGAGTATGTAGATGCACCCTAAGCTAGCAGCTAGCCCCTCCCGCACCTTACGGGGTTACCACACCCTTTCACTCAGGAAGCTGGTAGATGAACCATGGCCGTTGTCGGAGCAAACGACATGCTCTTCTCTGTCTCTTAGCGAAGACTGCCTTTTGGCATCGAATTAATCGGTGTCGGTCCATCACTGCCGATCGGACCCGTAAATTGTCGAAGACGACACACACATGGTCACTTACCGCACAACACTCTTGTTTTTACAGGTAACATATAGACAACATAAAATATATAATACGAATAAATAAATAGTATATTACATTACGAGTGTGGAAAATCACTTTTCACACAATATTTTTCCTACGACCACAAAATAATTTAATCAAAAAATGTAAAACCAGGTTATTATTATAATAATTAAATTGTATTTAAAAAAATAATCAACAATAATTGTATTTATTCAATTTTCATATTTATCGAAACAAAAATAAAAAAAAAAACAAAAAAAAATTTTGCAACTACCAAGTTTTGAACGCGGGCCCGTGGACCCGTCGTGTAAGCCAAAGTTCAAATTGCAACTACCCTACAACCTGAGCTAATGGGTCTTATGTCAAATGCATTTTTAATTTGATATGTAGTTTTTTATTGTAGTTATTGTTAAAAATAAATATCTGGGATCTAAGTTAATCGTCAATTTTAATAATTTAATCATCATATCGATTTTACTGTTAATATGGGCATTACATAAATCAAAATAGAAATGATGCGTTTGACATGTGCCATCTGGTGCGGAAATGTAAAACGAGGTTTATATTATAATAAATAAAATGAATTTAAGAAAACAATAAATAATAATCGTATTTTGGGGGGTGGGTTGGCTCAGTGGTTAGAGTCATGACTTTATGATCGGAAGGTCTCAGGTTCGAATCCCACCGTTGGCCGGGATTTTTTCATTTAATTTAATTATTTAAAATTAATTCTGATGCCTTGGTAGGATTCCCCACTCGACCATTCACTGTTGGGGTCTAATTAACAGTGCTGTTCCTAAAGTGGCGCTGGGAAACAGTAACAAAGCCTACACAGAACACGAGGCTAATGGCCGTAGTAGTCGACGCCGATGACACCAAATTAAAAAAAAAAAAAAAAAAAATAATCGTATTTATTCAATTTTCATATTTTCTAAACAAAAAAAACTAAAAAACAAAAAAAAAATAAAAAAAATAAAAAAAAATAAAAAAAATAAAAAAACAAAAAAAAAATCTGCCCCCGCAAGGATTTGAACGCGGTCGCTCGCTAGGTCTCAAATGGCAAAGTTGATAAAGTTTGATACTCTACTACCTGAGCTAATAGGCCTTGCGTCAATTGAATGATCTAATCGGTTGTGTTTAACCCGAATAAAAAGCAAACCTAACATAATTATTTTAAAATTATTTTAATAATTATTGTTAAAGATAAATATCTAGGATCTAATTTACAACAATTTCAATAATTTAACAATCATATCGATTTTAGTATTAACATGGACATTACATAGATCAAAATAGAAATGATGCGTTTGACATTTTGTGATAGATGATGCGGAAAGTAGCATATTCGCATACGGGTGGAAAGTAAATTCTTATTCATACGCGTGTGATATAGGGCACTTTCAATAGAACTATATAGTATGATATGTGTCACTTTCCTAAGTGGTCGTAGGGTGGGTTGGCCTATTATATACATCACGTATAGGTGGCAACCTGGCTAGTTTAAATTTTGACTTTGCAACCGCAATAAAAAATATGCGGTACCTTCAAATCATTTAAATTATCAACGCATGTAATCCCACCCTATAATTTTACCAAAAACTTCTCCCTAATATCACAGCTTATACAATACAGCTAAAACACTCTCTTGGCGGCAACGGTTTGCGTCGATTTCGTCGCGCATCGCTTAAGCTCCGCCTTCGAAGGGAAAAGACGGTTTTGGCGTTCAGAAGCGTACTTAGGTAAGGTGTTGAGTCGTGCGTATAATTTCGTTGATTGTATAATTTCGTGGAGCCTATAATTTCGTTGATTTTTTTTTTTTAATTAAAGGTACTGTTATTATTTTGGTGACTCTTTAGCTGTGAGTAGAATGAGTGAAAAAAAAAAGACTTCATTCTGTTTGTGCAGTCAAAAGCTGTTTTAATAAGGGTTATACCTGCAAGAAAACATTCTTTAGTTTTCCCAAGGACCCA